GGGATGGTTTTCATGGTGAGAGATCATGGACAGCCAGCACCAAGTTACCCAAGCCTGCTTGGAATTGCTGCTACTCTTCCTCCAGACCACCACGGCTCTTCCATTGGAATAAACCAAGCCAGGCTGGCTCAACCACGTCCCCGTGCTGCTTTCTGTGACAGCTCCAGCCTTACTCGCAGAGCCTGTTGGGCAGGGCTGAGCAGCCTTGCCCTCCGAGTTCAGTGTTAACCACCCGTGCTTCAGGTGCACTCTGAGCCCTTTCCACCACAGCCCAGCAGGGGCTGGCAGAAGAACCCAGACCTGCCTTAGCCAGGCCTGAAACTAAGGCCTGAGTGTAATCCCACTCCATCCAAAGAAGTTTGGGTGGGAAATGAGAATCCTCTGGAGCACCCACCGGTGTGCTCAGCAGCCCATCTGCTCCCAGGAATCAGCTGTTCCCCTTGCACACCTCCCCCTGAGCATAGGCAGGACTGGCACAGCCCAATCCCATGGGAATGCTCCCCCCACACCTTGGCATCAGCACTGCTCAGGAACAGCCAGGTGGTTTTGCTTCAGCCAGACCAGTCACAATTTAAAAATAAACTTTCCTTGCAGCCACGGCAAAGGAGGAAAGAACTCAGTTCTGTGTTTGTGCCCTGATTGGAGAAAAGCCCCCCAAAAGCCACTGCAGCCTCAGCCAGTCCTCCTACACAGCTGTAGGGTCCCACGCTCACTGGTCACAGCAAGGACTCAAGTCACACAAAATCTTCAAAATACTCCAAAAGTTCTCCATTCTGTTGCCAGCCAAGCTAAGTTGCCACAGCAGCAGCCCAGGATTAGAGGAAGCTGTAGGAGGAGGCAGAAGCTTCTTCAAGCCCATTCAAACCAAATGACAAAGACTCCTCAAATGTGAATGTAAAACATTTAATTTAAAAATGTTGACACTACAATATATAAAATAGCTATTATAAATGCACATAGTGTATTCTATAGCTGCCAGGTTTACGTTTTTAGGAAACTGTAAGTTACACTGTGGTTAAGACTTGTAGTTTCACCCTCTGAAGGAAGTCCACATTTGATCACAGTGATGCATGGTCAGACTAACAGCCCCAATTGTTAAACACTTGGATCAAGTCATAACCAGTTTTATTGCAAAAGGACCCTGTACACATTTATATCAATTCTAGTACCTTACAAGTTTATCTACCCAACAAGTCATTAACATACAGAAACATGCATGAGAAGCAAGAAAGAACACCCATCCCTTCTGCATATTAGCAACTTGTCACTCCCGAGCCCGAGGCTCAACATCACTGAGGTTTATGTGAACAGTCACTTTTAGCATTCATCCTGAGTGAAAGATGGAATGACTTAAGTACAAATGCAACATATTATAAACAATTTCTTACAAAAAAAGTCACAAATTAAAACCAAAGTATTTTACAGAATTAACTACAAAACACCATAAAAACAGCCTTCACTTAAGCCCTCTCTCCCCGTATCCTGCGAGCCAACTGGATATCTTTGGGCATGATGGTGACTCTCTTGGCATGGATGGCACACAGGTTTGTGTCTTCAAACAGACCCACCAGATATGCCTCGCTGGCCTCCTGTTTCAAGAGCACAAGAAGAAATGTTAAAAAAACCCTGAGCGCAGCTCCCCCAGCGCCGCGGCCCAGCCGGCCCCCAGCAGTACCTGCAGCGCACCGATGGCCGCACTCTGGAACCTCAAGTCTGTTTTGAAATCTTGAGCGATTTCCCTGACCAGCCGCTGGAAGGGCAGCTTGCGGATCAGCAGCTCCGTGGATTTCTGATAACGACGGATCTCACGGAGCGCGACGGTTCCCGGCCTGGATGGAAAAGGCAGGAGGGGGCGGTGAGGCGGGGCAGGGGCTGCGGCAGCCGGGGCCGAGCCGAGGGCCTTACCTGTAGCGGTGAGGCTTCTTGACGCCGCCGGTAGAGGGGGCGCTTTTCCGGGCCGCCTTCGTGGCCAGCTGCTTGCGCGGCGCCTTCCCCCCAGTGGACTTGCGGGCGGTCTGCTTTGTACGGGCCATTTTTCCTCACTTACCTACAGAGACAAGCACACGTGACGAGGGGGCCCGGCTCTCCCCGCCACCCCCAGGCCCGACGACGACAAAGCGGCCAAATCCCCTCAAGCTCTAAATGCCCCCCCTCCCCCGCCGCGGGCAGGCGGCCAGCGGCCTCCCCCGGGACGGGGAGGAGGAGTAACGGTTACCCCGCCGCCCCCGCCTCGCGGCCCAGCCGCTCCCCTCCCCGGGGAAAGCGGACTGAGTCACCCCGCCTCCTCCTTCCTCCCAGGCCGCTCCGGGGCGGGGGGGGGAGGAGGTGCAATGGGGGGGGGAGGGGAATCGGCCGTGACTCAGGGCACGTAGGCAAGGCCCGGCCTGTCCGCCGCGCTCCGGGAGGACCCAAGGCCGCGAACGGCCGCGCAGCACCACCGTCCACGTCAGAACGCGTCCGCTGTCCAGTACTTACCGGTAAGAAGAGAAGAAAGCGCCGATGCCGGTAGCGCTGCGCGCCAAAGCCTCTACACTGTAGTGCTACCTCGAAGTGCTCCTCAGCCGCCGCACCGCTCACTGCGCCCTCCCCGCCGCGGGGACACGCATTTTATAGTGGGGGCGCCCGCGCGGCGCGGTGACGTCACAATGCCTGTAAGCAACGCGCCATGCTATTGGCCGGGACCTCCGCCGGCGCCGTCGCGTCACCACACACAAAGGCCGTGCTCCGGTTCCTCGGCGCTGATTGGGCGCGCAGCCGGGCGCTGATTGGTTGTTAAAGTAGGCGTCCGATTGGGTGTTGAGGGAGGAGAAGGAACCAATCGGTTGCCGGCGGGCGCTCTGCGCGCTGATTGGACGAAACGGGGCAGGGTTTGGATCCTACCCTTTGTTGCGAAGCTCCACAATGGGAAGTCAATAGGAGCGGGGCGAGCGGCGGCAGCGCCGCGGGATCCCCCGGGCACCCCCGGCCGGGCCAGGCCAGCCCCGCCGCACAGCGCCGGCCCCGGCCTGCGGAGCAGAGGCGCCAGGCAGAGGCTGCGAGCCGCGAGGGCCGGGCCGCGGGGTCCCCTCCGCCCCCTCTCCCCCGGGAGCCGCCGGTGTGCGGCCGCTCGACACCCGCGCTCGGGGGTGTCACTGGGGGCGAGAGGAGGCCCTCGCAAGGGAAGGGGGCCTGGCAGCTCCTCTGGCACTTCTTGCCCGGGCTTGTCATTCCAGCTGCCAAGGAAGGGTTGTCACGGGACTTGGGTTGGCAGTGGGCAGCAGGGCTGGGGTGTGACTGTCCCAAGTCAGAGCCTGACCTTTGGCCCTGGGCAGGGAGCGTTCAGGAGCTGGGGCTCAGCCCCTCTATGCTGCCATTCCCCAAATCACACTCTGTGGGTCACCTTCATCCCCAAAGCGAATCATAAACTTTCATTCCAAGTAGAAATCCAGAATCTGTGCTCCCTATCGGTGCCATCTTAGCATTAATCTTCCTAAGATAAATAATAATTCAATAAAAAAACTTGTCTTTTGGGAAAAACTGCTGCCTTAAGTTATACCTTGATTTATATCGTTATTTTACTGTATTTGCACTGACTGTGGAGGCAGATCCCTACACCCACGGGAAGGCTCCCAGGATCAAGAAGAACAGGTCCCAAATGCCCCGGAGCTGTAGCACGTAGGATTTGCAGGGAACACAAACAGACGTTCCTAAAGGCGTCTGTGAGCTTCCCAAAGTGGAGCCCAGCTGGAATCACCCACTCTCTGCTTGAGGCTCTGCATCCTTGGCCTCTGGGGTCAGCGCTGGCCTGGTAGGAAGAGCCAGGATTGGAGCTTGGCACGTCGGGAATGTGTTGGGAGCGTGTCCTGCTCCACTGTCCACTCAAGCAAACGTGGCACCGTGGTGTGACAGGGCTGTCACGTGTGCCTAGGCCGTTGCTGCCTGTAGGATGTCATCTCCCCTGCTTCTCGTCCTCATTTTCAGGTTCATTTTCTCTCTTCTAAAGGAAAACGTTAATTATTTGTCAGAGGCAAAAAACTGTGTATCCATGTGGTGGCTTGGGAGGTGTAGGTAAACACTCACTGTGGTGTTTTGGAAGGTGGAAAGGGAAGAATTCCTCCTTCGTCTGAGTTGTTGAAACTAGGGAAAATGAACTAGGAACCGGTTCTAGTGGTAACAGAGTTAACATATTTAATTTGTTACTTTTGAGATCTCACTGCACTATCACCAATGCTAGGAGGCCAGGTAAAACTTTGTTACCAGGAGTTCATAGTCTCCTTAATAATTTCTTTCTCCAGTTTTCATAGCAGTGGCTACTTGGATTTCTCCTTTCGGAGACAATTTAGATTTTTTGCTCTGGTAGAGAAAAGCCAGGTGTCCCCTGGGGTGGAGCAGGCTGAGGGACAGAAGCTGAGGAGGGCACACGTTAGCAAAGGTGGGAATAAATGCACCCTGGACACATCACCTGGAGTGTCCTCAGTGTTTCCCCATCGCTTGGCAGGGCACGTGTCCAGGTGTGAAACAATGGAAGAGGAAACAGTGTCAGCACCAGGTTGTAAACATCAGCCACAAGGGACTGGAGCCTGTGACGTCCAAATCCCTTCGGACAAAGCACAGGTTGGTGCTGTTTTCAGTGTGATTCCTCAATAGCTGAGTGGGTTTTCCAGCAGGTTCGTGGCTGACAGTGGCTCTGGTTTGGGTGTACAGGTGTGTGCACTCACTGAAACACCTGCACACACATTGACTGAGGAAAAGCCCTGCTTGACCAGGAGCTGCATAATTCCAGTGCTCCAGCCTCCCATGGAGGGCGATTAGATGAATAAGAAGGTATGGATATCCTGTGACTTACTCCTGTAAATGCCTGAGAAAAAGGTACTAAATCACCTCAGGACAAGCCTGCCTGCAATAGATACTAAATCAGTATAAACAGGAGTTTTAAAAGTGATTTGTCTCCCCAAACCAGCTGCAGAGAACAGGCCTAAAGTTTATTATTAACACTGCTCACCCCATGTGGGCTGGCAGAGGCAAAAAAGGTGTTTGCCTGATAAATGCCGTGTGCCCTTTCCCACACCGCTGGAGATCCCAGCGCCAGGAGCGTTTCTGTGCGGAGCCCAAGAGATCAAAGTCCTATTAAAAGAAACTCGTATCATTTCCTCCCCTGGGAGAGAAGTTAATTGGCAGAGGAAGCGCTCCACATGGGAATTCGGCCGATTCCTTGGTCACGGCTGCTTCGGTGGGGGGTTTCTCCCAAGGGAGGACGGGGAGCCCGTGCTCCGATGTCCCAGCAGCCAGGTGCCATTGGTGTCACCTGCTTCGAGGTAGGTTCTCCATGCGCTTGCTGGGCCTTCCTCCCTCCCTCCCTCCTCCTCCTCCTCCTCCTCCTCCTCCTCGGGCCGCAGTGCTATTCCCGGGCATTTCCTGCACGGCGTTGTCCCGTGGGTGGGGAGGGCCGTGGAGCGATGAGCGATGCCAGCACTAAAATAACCCTCTGGCCGCGCTCCCGCGTCCACGCTCAGCCCCTGAGGCAGAGGAAGAGGGGGGAGGAAGGAAGTGAGGCCGCCTGACACAAATAACTCCCGGCCCCTCCTCACCAGCCCCCCGTACCGGCCTCCTCCGCTCCCGTCCCAGCCGGCCTGGCGGGGCAGGGCCGAGCGGGCTGGGCCGCCCCCGGGCCTGCTGTCCCGTCAGGGCTCGGTGTCCCCCAGGGGCTCGGTGTCATACTGCGGCTCGCTCTCCATCCTCAGGGGCTTGGTGTCCCCTGGGGGCTCCGTGTCGCCCCAGGGGTTCGATTTCCCCCGACGGTCGGTGCCGCCCCTGGGCTCGGGGCTCCCCCGGTCCCAATCCCGCCCCACCACCGGGGGGCGCCCCGGCGCTCCGCCCTCACCGCCCCGCGCACTACACCTCCCGTCGCGCCCCGCGCGGCAGGAAGCGCGGAGGCCGCGCCGCTGCGGGGCGCCTCTGGGAGTTGTAGTCCCGCCGGCCGGAAGCCACCGCCCGCCGCGTCCCGGGCTGGCGGGCGGCGCGCGCGCGACGGGACTACAAGTCCCACCCCGCCCCGCGCGCCACCGGGGCGGCAATGGCGGCGGCGGCGCCTGCGCGCGGCGCCCTCCGTGCGGACCGCGCAGAGTGAATAATAAAGGTCTCCTCGGCGGCGGCGGCGGCGGAAGGCGGGAGGCATGTCCAAGGGCCCGGTGGCGGGCGGCCCCGCCGCGGCCGGGCCGGCGAGCGCCGCCAGCGCGCTGCAGGCGCAGCCCGAGAAGCCGCAGCACTACACGTACGTAGAGCCGGGAGCTTCCCCGCCGCCGCCCGCCCGCCCGCGCGCCAACACGCGCCTGACGTCAGCGTGCGGCGCGCGCGGGGGCGCGCGGGGGGACGCGCGGGCACCGGCTGGAACCGGCCTCGGCCGGCGCGGGCCGGGGGCGGCGGGGGGAGAGGGAGGGGCGGGGGATGAGCGACCCCCCCCCCCCCCCCGCAGCCCCCGTGATGCACCGGGGCCGCCGCGCCTCCCCCGGGGGTGAGGGGACCCCCGGACCCTCGGGTGACACCGCCGGCCCCTCGCCCCCTGGTCCCTCCCTCTCGGGTGACACCTCCGCCTGGGGTGGGGGTCCGTGCCCCGGGATGTGAGGGCACCCCCGGGCGACACCCCCGATCCGTTCGGTGGCGGGTGAGGGGCCCCGCGAGTGACACCCCTGGTCCCTCCCCCGTGGTGTTGGTGGAGCGCCGAGCCCTGTGGTGACACCCCCGCCCGAGGCTGGGCGGCTGTCCCGCGGGATGTGAGGGGTCCCCAGCTGCTTGGGGGGGGCTGAGGTTTTGGTGAGCTGCCACCCAGAGCTGTCACTCCTGTCCGCCACCCCTGCGGGGTCCCAGGGGTTCCTTGGCACCCGTGGAGGGAGGTGTGAGGTGACAAGAGGTCCCCAGAGTCGCAGCCTCCGTGGTTGGTGATGGAGTGTTCAAGCAGGTCCCTCTTAGGGCAGGTGTCTTTGGGAATGACACAGGTGTGTGGAATGTCCCCCTTGGAAGGCTCAGAAATCCGGAGGAGCGTTTCCCCTGTTGACACTGCTCGGGTGTGCAGGGCACACCATTGGTGTGTGTGTGTGTCACCTCCATCACTGGAGCTGCTCCCTTAGGGAACACTTGTTGGTGGAATGTGTCTTTCCTAACCAAAAAATTCTGCTTCACTGCGTTGTCCCAAGGAAACACAACCTGTGGGAGCTGTGTGAAGTTGCCCTGTGATCATTTGTTGGAGTTGGAGGTTGTGGTGATGATGTTCCCATCCTCTTGTGCAATAGGGATAACGGATTGGGAATGAGCATTATCTTTGTGAGGTGGGCTGATGGTGGATGGGTATGGTTGGAAATAGGTCATGTGTTCCCTGTCCTTAAAAGAGAAAATTTTGGAACTGTTCTTTGTGAACAAAATACATGTGTTGAGCCGTTTGCCCTTATCATTTTAGGGAGTTGTCCTACAAAAACCCTACAAATACTCGTATCTCTGGCTTGTGTTGATGCCCCCACCCAAAGTGAGACGTGTGCTCTGTGCTTTTAATTTTCATTTTCATAAGGTTGGCGGTGGACTTCTCTGCGTCCACGCTGTGATACCTGTAATAAAAAGAGCTTTGAGGAATTCAGAAGCATGGATCCATACAACCTGTGTGCTTGCTGCTGGGATTGTAGGCTACCTGCCACCCCTTCAGGCTGTTTGAAATACCATGGCAGAGTGAGGGCTTCCAGGTTTTATTGTCATCGTGAAGATCCTGTCATGATCTTTAGGGAACTGGCAAACCACAGTCTCGTAGGTTGTGTAGTTTCTGGTGTAGTCTACAAGTTTTATGGGGGAAATGGGCATAGAAGGGAACATTCTGCTGGGAATGTTGCTGTAGGGCAAAAGAGGGAACAGGAGCTGATTGTAGAGGTGGAATGACACTAGTGATGGAGAAAGAGTCGGTTAAAAGTGAGAAGGAAAACAAGGAGGTGAGGTTGAGAGAGTGAGGATATTGGATAGAGGAAGGTGAAGGTGATAACTTGGATAAGCATGACTGTAGAAATAAGGATGTCAAGTGTTAGGAAAAATAGAGGAAGACACACTTCAAGAAACAGGAGGAGATTGGGAAAGAGGACGGAAATGGGACAGCGTGGAACAAAGCTGGTGGTGCAATTAGCTTCTTTCCAGAGGGCAAAACTTATGTTTTGAAGATGGATGCTAAAAATACTTCAGTGAAAACAGTTGCAGAGGAGCTGAATAACCATAAGTGAAAGACGGATTTGGGGGCTGCTGAGTGCTGACAGTGGGATGTGAGCCATCCTTTGGAAGTCTAGGATGTGTACACTGGGTCACATCAGACTGTAAACCTCCTCCTGATAACATATGGGAACTTATTTGGTGGTCGCTCATGTGAACAAGTTGTATGTTGTCAAAATGTAAATATTTTCTTCCTTTTTTTTTTTCCCCTTAAATACAGTTTGTTTCCATAAAATGACACGAAGGTTACAAGTTGTAAACTCAAGTAAGCTTAATTATCTGCATACTTTGCTGTTCCCTGGGGACAGGCAATCTGGTGCTGGGGATCTCTCAGAAAGTTTTGGTTATATTTGTAAGGAAATGTTCCAATTTCTGTATTAGTGTGAATTTCTAAACTCTTGGTGTTACTTGCATGACATTTTTTAGATACTTCAGACCTCTGTCTATCAGGAAGCCTTTATGTTTACTTTAGATGTGCAGCAAAAGAAAACGTAGGAAAAATAGAGCTGGTGATGCTCTCTCACACCTTTGTCACTGTTCGTTAGCAGAAGAGGCTGAGCTTCCATGATTTGTGTCCTTTGGTAGCAGTTGAATATTCCTGGAGACAAGTTGCTGGTAGAGGCCAAAGTTTGCTGTTTAATTATGGATGTCGTGCTCCTTGTCTGGGGATCTGCTATTCCATTTGTAGAACTCGAGCAAGTAACAAAATACTCCATGGCTGCTGTTGTGTTCTCCCCGGGTTGCTGGATTAGATGTTCCTGCACGTGGCTGCTTTCTGATCCTGTAGCAGGATGAGATGAGGATATTCCCAGGAGCAAAGGGGTGAGACAGCCTCATTCCTGGGGTTCCTGGAGGCTGGGATCAGCTTGGGGTGATGTGCTCTGTGGGGGCTGGATGGGAAGTGGATTTCGTTTGGGTAGGCTCTGTCAAGCCTCAGCTGAGGATTGGTTTTGCAGCTTTTCTTGGCTCTGTCTAGCATGTTATTTCTGCAGGTACCTCTGTCTTTAATGTGTATCTACATGTGGGTAGAGCTTGAGGTGGAAGAAACTGAAAGCAAGTGCTCAGTCGTTGGGGCTGTAGGTACAGAGTGCTCTGGGCTAGTTTTGTTTTGGTTTGGTTCCTCCGTTCAGCTGCTGGCAGCATGGTTGGTTTCAGTCAGACTTGATGCCTTAATTGTGAATTGTAAAGATTGTTTCCACTGCTTGGGTGTTTATTGATCTGGCAGAATTTAGATAAGTGAAAGTGGAGCAGCCCTTTGTTCACTGTGCATTCACCTGAAAATCAGACAGTTTAATAACACTGCAGGAAAGCAAACGTTCAGGTGGAGATAAATTAATGCATTTTATATAAAACAGAGAGTCTCTTCAGTCTGGTGCATTCAGAGTACACGTGTTCACAAGTGGCATTGAAAATACTCTGATTTAGGTGATAAACTCTTTGGGACACAGACTTGTTGTGCATAACCCAAGTCATTGCTACTCAAGACATTTCTCTTGAGTGTGCCCATCTTTAATATGAGCAGCAGCCTTGGAAGGGACCTTTAGGATTCCATGTCCTGACTGTCTGTACCCTCACTTGAGATCTGGGTAAGATACCTGGGAGCACATCCTGTCCTCTTTTGCAGTGCATCAAGATAAGCTTTATGGTTATGCCTTTGCAGCATAAAAGGCAAAAATCTTTTCTTTCCTTTTGCACGAGGAGAGGAACTGTGGGAAATTCCTGAATGATTAGTACCCTGTAAGTCGTGCTGGAGCTGCATCCACGTGGGCTGTCATGTAGGGACTCCTGGATTGTGCTCACCCAAGCTTTGTCTTGCAACCATTCTGGTGCTATTTAGACATAGAAGGACCAGAGGCCTTGAATGAAGCACATTGTAAATGGGGATGAAAATGGAGCTGGTTCAACACTTTGGCTGTAACTGAAATCGAGGACATTCTTGTGTCTACATTGTACCTTGTCTGGTGGTTTCTTGACCTTAAATAGGAACTCAGTTTAGGAGAGTGACAGAAATGTGGGTGAAGAAGAAGTAAAAATACCAAGACTATAGGTGTGCTTATTTAAAGTCTTATTTACCTCAAAA